CCTCATAGAGCCCAGCCTCCCGGATAATCTGTTCTGCATATAGGTTGAAAAGGTATGGAGATAGGATGCATCCCTGGCGTACACTGGTGGATTAAAAATTCCAGAGAAGCGTGGCTTTTACCTTAGCAGTACAACACCCTCTTTGAAACAGGGCTGGAGGCATGACCGTCCCAGCTGGGAACTCTGGGGAGTCCTGCTCACCATAGGGGCCGAGGTTAGATACCTAGCGAGCCAAAGAACATCCACCTCCCATCTGGGGGTTGTAGAGTCTTACTTGGTGTAGAGATTTGGTTAGAAATCTGGGGAGCTAACGCAAACCCGTCCTTATCGGCTGACTCATCACAGGTCTGCGAAAGCTTTGAAGAGCAGCATGGGCTGGACAAGCCTGTGTTCCGCTTTCATTTCATTGTTAACGTTACAACGTCCAACAGGCAGGCACCTTTCTGAGCTTCTGCTGCTTCTTGGAAATGGGGCTCAAATCCCTTTCACTTTGGTCATGATAGTTAATAAAGGAGGACTCCAAAGGAATGTCAGGTCCCTGGTGCATTGAATGCTGCTTCTGTTGGCACCTTTGCCAAGTTTATGTGGCTGCAGAGAAGAGCTGACCTCTGTCTCTGAGAGGCTGGACTTGAGAAGCTCGGGGAATTGAAGCTCTGTATTGGAATTTCAGGCTGTAACCCCCCTGGGGTGCTCATGTAGGCAGGGGGATACCACCCTATGGAAAGGATGAGCTTCCCTGAGCTGACCTGGACTGTGGGTGTTGAGTGGATCCAGCAATGGTGATAGGAACAAGAAGATGGCCTGAAGACCTCTCTTTCCGAGTGAGGGTAACGTCCACAAGGACCCACCTAACTCTCAAAGGAGTTCAGAAGGTCCCAACCAAGTTTTGTGAGTCTGGGAAGACCAGGGGTTCAGCAAACATCTGGGGTGATGCCCCAGAATTCTGGGAGCTGTGAATCCAATCCCACAGCCTCACCCACAACTATAGGATGAACTAGGAGGAAGGTTTGAGCTAGTTACTTAGTCATCACGTACTTGACAATGAACTTGGCACAGTAAGCTGACTTCCACTCGATGGCCAATGAGGGACCAAGGTGAATCCCTGAATGAGGGGCTCGTGGTGAAGCACTGAGAGGGCGTGAGTTCTCAGCAGGGCTGCTGTCCCTGACAGCTGCTCTCTGTGCCCTGCCAAGTGGCTTTAGTGTCATCGCTTCATTCTCTTCCTTCCAGGGTTTCAAGGGACACACAGGCGATTCTGGTGCCCCTGGCCCCCGGGTAAGTAGACACCTCATCTTGAGAATGACACCAAGCTGACAACTATGTGTGCAGGAGGGTGAAGCGTCTGGTTACCTGAGATGAAGAGTGAGCCCCTAGCAGTGGGCGCCATGGGGCATCCACCTTCTCCGGGTCTAATTCCTCTAGAACAACTTTCTGGGTGGCAGATACTGACATAAACACCAGTGTGGCTGGCGCGGTGTGGGTGAAGGTTGGTCTCTTGACTGTGTGAGGCATGGTGAATGAGTGCTGTGAGCCAAGGGCTATTTATGGAGGAAAAGGCCAAGGCCAGAAGGGTGGGTGCTCCATGGTGCCAGAACTTAGAGATGGACCTGCACAGCTGACCCACACTGGAGGACCCCTGAGACGGGCTTCTTGCCCTTAACCTTCTCTACCTTTTCCAAGTGTCCCTGACTGAAGGACAGCTTGAGCTCAGCTGGTTACATCCTAGTCATGCTCTAGATAGCGTAGCATGCAGGGAGGGTCACAGAGCAGGAGAGGAGAATGCTGGCCCTCTGCTGACCTCCTTTCTCAAGTGGCTCTGAGCATAACATGACAAAGGTTGCAGGTGCACTTGACCCCAGCTTACAGCATGACAAAGGTCTCAGGTGCACTTGACCTCAGCTTACAGTATGACAAAGGCCTTGGGTGCACTTGACCTCAGCTGGGCCAGGATCCTGCAGAGAGACTAACTTATCCTCAGTCAGGGACTGCTTGTTAGGTGGTCCTTCTGGACCTTTGTCCTCCCAGATCCCCAGAAACCCTGGAGATGGGGTAGTGGTCTGCAGCTTCGTCCTCCGTAAGGGACTCTGAATCTCTGCTTCCCCTTCTAGGGAGAGCCTGGTGCCATCGGTCCCCCTGGCTGGGAAGGGTCTCCAGGAAAAGATGTAAGTGTGGGCATCTCATGGGGATGGGCTGACCCCATGGGTAAGCAAGGCTGTAAGAACATGTGCATCACTGAGGGGCCAGGGAGACCCCAAAAAGTGGTATTTCTGGGACTGGGGCATCATCAGAGATCCATGTAGTCACACCTGTCTCTACCACGCCTGGCAAGGGTCTCCAGGAAATGGCATAAATATGGGTGTTCTATGCAGCCAAAACGGGCCCGTGCAAGGTGGAGGTGTAAAAAGGGACCAGAAAAGACCCCCAGACATGGTATCATGAAGGCTCAGCTGCACCACAGATCCAGCTGGTCTCACCCGCTGACACCTTGGCATCAGTCCTGCTGGGGTCTGGATGCCAGGGCAGGACTTCCTGGACCCATTGTGATTTATCTCATGTTGGCGCCATCCATGGGCAAGTGTATCTGTTCTTCTATGGACGTCGTTAGCCTTTCAAGTTATCTCTCCATCCTCACTGCTCAAAGTGGCCATGAACCCATTCCTCCCACCAAGACACACATGTGCACTCCTTGTGCACACTCCATCTTCCTGCCATGACACACGTGTGTACACACTCCCTCCTCCCACCATGACACACGTGTGTACACCCTGTACACACTCCATCCTCCCGCCATGACACACATGTGTACGTACTCCATCCCCCACAATGACACACTGTGTACACCCTGTGCACACTCCATCCTCCACCATAACACACTGTGTACACCCTGTACACACTCCATCCTCCCACCATGACACATGCATGTACACACTCCCTCCTCCCACTATGACCCACTGTGTACACCCTGTGCACACCCTATCCTCCTGACATGAGCACGTGTGTACTCCCTGCACACACATCACCTGGCAAGACCACCCTCATTTCTCTGGTTTTGCGATCAGGGCAAGGCAAGTAGCATCCTTACCCCATTTCTTTGGATGAAGAAACAGTTCCGGAGCAAAGTGACCAGGTTGGTTCGTGACAGTCAGGGGGGTGTCAGGCTCAGGAGTGTGGCCTGGAGCTGGGACCAGGCGGCACTGTATCCCCATGGGGCACTATATGCATACCTGTTTTGTCTCACATCACTTTACTGCACTTTGCAAACACTGCATTTTTACTAAGTGGAGTCCAGTGGCAGCCCTGTGCAGAGCAAGTCTGTTCGGGGCCATTTTTCCAACATTGCTCTGGGCATAAGCTGCCAAGGTGTCGTTTGGGGTGTTTTGTTTATTTTTAATACACCCACTGCCATCAAGTTTAGTCGTACCCACACTTGCCCTCCTACTCATGTCTGAGGCCGAAATATTTACGGGAAGAGATTGCCCATCTTTCTCCTTCAGAGCAGGTAGAGGATCTGAACTCCCAGCCTTTGAGGGGCAGTTGGTGGATTCAGGTCACCTGGTTTTCCACTGGGAGCCCTACTTTTCACACACAACACCACCAGGGCTCCTTCCACGACGCTGCCATGCACTTACCAGACCTCGGTGTGATATCACAGAACTTTCCTCGGCTCCGGGACACCAAGACCCACGTGACTCGCAGACCCTGGAGATACTGCAGCTCCAGTTCCAAGATGTTGAGGGAAAGTGGGCATCGTAATAGACCGAGTCACATGACTTTTTGGTCTTGTTGCTTCCCCGTGCACAGAAAAGTTGTTTGACATTCTGTGTCTGCCAAGTTACAACAGCATTAAGGACAAAGTCTGAGATGTTGGGAGATTTAACACAGTCAACACAGAGGGTCTTCATTAGCCCGGCGGTGGGGAGATGGAGCTGATGGAGCTGATAGTCTTGCTTGATGTGGGGTCGCCATAACCTTTAACTTTAAAATCTGCAGTTGCTCCGAAGAACAGTGAAGTGAAGCAGATCAAGCCAGATCTGCCCGTATGTGAACTGAATGTGTCCCCCACTGGTGTCCCTGGCCATTACAGCTCAGGCAGCGTGGACACAGGCTGGCCAGCTCTCAGGTGACCTCGCCAAGTCTGGAGCTGCCTGGAGGCCATGGTGGACTCCTGTCTTCCTGAGGGACGGTGATGATATGACTCTTCTTTGTTGCAGGGGGATGCTGGACCCACAGGCCCGCAGGGGCCCCGAGGACTGAGGGGCCTGCCGGTGAGTGTGGGTTTGAGGTGAATTCGCCCCATGTCTCACCAGGACAGTCCTCAAGGCTGATTGTGGTGCAGGCCTGTGTGTTGTTAGCGGGTTGCCAGGCTGTTCTTCTGAGGCACCCTGTGGGCTGGTCCGGAAGCATGCTTTCTCAGCGGGCTCTTTCACTTCCAACAGGACAAACACTGGCTCCTTATTTTTGTGTATCAAGCACAGAGATGCATGTAGCATATAAACATCTAAACAGTGTACTTGTGGTATTAAAATGTCATGGAGGATTAGAGGAAGCTTGTCTGAAAGGATGCTAGGGCAAGGGTGGTAGGAACAGTGTGTTGAGAAGTGTCACCCCAGAACCCCCAGGTGGTCAGAAGCACCTGGTTGAGGACCCTCCTGCCTGCAGCACTGAGTATGGGGTTAAAAGTGAGTGAGGCCACCTGTGCTTGATTCTGGCTCCTTCAGTGAACTCGGTGAGCTGTTTTGCCCCTCCTGGACCTCAGTGTTCTCATCTGTGAAATGGGACAATTCTAAGAATCCACTTAATCAGTCCTGTGACCTGCTCATGGCACCAGGCTCAGAAGTGATGGACACTGGGCTACACCACAGTCTCCCCACCTGGGGACAAGGTGGCCCTTTGGTTCTGCCTTCCCCGCGTGTTTCCTCCAAGGGTTGTAATAGATGTGTCCTTGATGGACTCATGCACGAGTGAGAGTGGCGGTGCTCAAAGGCCCAGGACAGGGAGCGGCTCACTGGACTGTGTGCACAGTGTGACCATGTGCGTGGATGCTGGGTGGGGTGCACAGCCTGGCTCCAGATGCAGCGTGAACTGCCTCAGGGGCCGTAAGCAGACATGGGTTTGGCCTGGAGGTGTTCTGCTCTCAGCAGGACTCTGTGTAGTCCCTGGAAAGACCACGTTAAACTCGGGAAACAGCCCAAGAGTGTGCTCCCAACAGTCAACGCCTACTGCAGGCCGACTGTTTACTTTTCTGTTTGCTTTAAACTTATCCAGGCAGGTCCTAGGTTATTTCTCTGACAAGCTGACTCTTTTCTTTTTTATGATCACTTTTATTTTGATGTTGGTGTTGCTGGAACATAACACAGCATAATAATCTCTAATCCCAGCGTCTCTCCAGGCCTGAGGCACAGACACCTTCCTCAAGTTGTGCCACGATCTTCACCAGCTTATACCACCCTTTCTTTTTTGTTGTTGAAAACAAACAAACATCCACCAAAAAACCAAACAAGCCAACAACCTTCTTATTTGTGTGGACATTCACAGAGCAAATGCATTTCCTGCTCAACAATTTGTACACACTTTGCTTTATGACCTGTGTGCAGTGCCTCACGGGGGTGCCTCCAAAATGCCCTTCGCGCCTCGCAGGGAGCCCCTGTAGATTCAGGACCGGGATACCAGTCTGTCTGTCCACTGATTCTCGCAGTCTGTCTCAAGCTCCATGAAGCTGGTGCATCACTCTGCCCTCTTGCAGACAGGAACCGGAGGCACAGAAAAATGAGGGACCTGCCTGGCACCTCACAGCCTGCCTTGTTTCTTTGCAGACCCCACAGCTGCAGAGCAGAGTTGGGGGATGCCAGCTGGTCAGATGCATTGAGATGCATTGAGGGTCCCTGTATGCGGCTGTCCTTGAGTTGAATGAAGGGCGCACCACACAGAAGGGGGTCGGAGCAGGAGCTTGGGATTCGAGCATTTAGGGCGGGAGATCTGAGGCTTCCACTCCAGATGGCAGAGACTGGCGTCACCCCTGGGCAAGTGGGGTGAAGACTGAGGAGCACAGGGCCACACCCATCTCCTCCTGGGAAGAGCCGTGCATGCTTCCCCTCCTGCTGATATGACTTGGCCCTTCTCCCTGCAAACGGAAGACCAGAGGGAGAAGGAGGAGAGATATAATTACCACAGGGACCAGCCAGGAGTGTATTTTTAGAGAGACACAGATGGGTGGGTGGGTGGAGGGGTGCGAGGGAGCCAGCCTCATCTCTTCTCCATCCGGCACTCGTCGGGAGGGGTGAGGCAGGCTTGTCTGCAAGTCAGGCGATGGCAGCAGAGGACCATATTGAGACCTCAGTGCTAGCTTTGTGCCTCAGTTTCCTTATCTCTGCTTTAGGTATAAAGACCTCACCTTGCAAGTTTCCAGCGAGGGTCAAGTGAGCTGAGGGGCAGGAAGCGCCCCCATACACTGTCAGCATCTGGTTGACACAGAGTGAAGGAGTGTTTGTGATCCCTAAGTGCCAAGCGCAGTAGTAAAGTCCTCCCCCTTCCCTGTGGGGACCCAGGTTCAGTTCCTGCCTGCTGCACAGTGTAGTCACCTGTGTCTCTTAGCAGAGGCTTGTGTTGTGATGATACTGAACGTGCACACTGAGCGTGAGTTGTGGTCATTCCCATGGCAACAGGTGGAGGCTTGGGTTCCAGAGTAAGGCAGACCAGGAAGAACAGCCTGGCAATGCATCTGAAACTCAGCCAGTGAAAACCCTATAGATCACCGCGGTTTGATCCATGATGTGAAGGCTGATGCGAGGCAGAGTTGTACCTTACAGCAGCTAATAACAGCCATTGCCAGGACCTCATGGTCTCAGCTTGACCGGGGCAGGTGGGGAGCGGCGGCAGTGATGCCTGAGACCATGGCCTCCACTTCCTTCTCAGCTGCCTGCCCTCCTATGCCTCAGTTCCCCTGTTTGTAAAACGACGATACTGCTAGCCTGTGTTTGAGCAGTGGGCATGTTCTGCAGTGGAAGATGGTCCTGGCTTGTGAGAAGTGCAAGGCCAATGTCCAGTGATCCCTGGAGTGGAGACGGCTGTGAAGGCGTGCCTCACAGAAGGATGGCAGGACGGGATATCACAGGGTTGTTGGGAGATGGTTTCCATGACAATCTTGAGTCAGTCCCTTTGCCCTGTGCATTGGTGCTGGGCTGGATGGTGGGGACAGAGACTGAAGAGGAGGTCATGCCACAGCATAGCCACCCAGAAGGAGAGGCGATAGCAGGAGAAGGGACAGGACAAGTGGTCGACTCAGCCCTGGGTAGGTGCCCATGGATTTCAGGGGTAATAGATTTGTCAGGTCAACAATGGGCTTGTCTCTTGTTCCCTTCAAGTCAGGCTTCACTCCTGGCAACCTTACAGAGACCAGAACTCTGCCTGACTCTGCAGTGTCTCCTGATGGTCAGTGTCTGTGGCTCCACTGTTGTGGCCACTGTGTATTTTGGATGCCTCCTAACCCAGGCGACTCCTCTCCCAGCACCGCTTCAGACAATACTCTGTTGTGATCCAGATGGTCTCATGGACTAACTTGAAAAAGTCAGGTCGCCAGGCCTTTCCTGCTAGTCTCTCTCTCAATCTGAGAGCTCAGCTGGAACCTGTCCAGTCCACTGTGGGTGATCCTGCTGGTATTTGAAATACTAGTTGCAGAGTTTCTATCATCACTACACCCAAGCTAGAAGGTTCTTGAGCTCCATTTTTTACTCTCTATGGATCAAATGGGTTAAATGTGTTTGATCCGTAGGGAAGCACCTGGGCTGATGGGAGAACATGTGATTGTGACGGAATACTACTGTGTCTGTGCCACGGATGACAGTTAGTGAGCTAGACTAATTCACGCATGAAGCCACAATCAATTAGTTCCACAACAATGAGTTAAATATTAGGATCTTTCATTGCTATTAGCTGTCGCCTGACTCCAGTCTTGGTAATCTCATGGTAATAGAACCAACTCTTGCACCGTCCTCAAGTACACCTGGTATGTTTGAGTCCTTTGTCTGAAAAGCATCTTCAGAGGAAGACAACGACCCATTGGAATCTTCCCACCCTCCCGTCATGCTTCCCTGAGATGCTCTGGTGGACGATGTTGGCAGACTCCCCCCTTCTCTTTCTTTCCCCAGGGGAAGAATGGATCACCTGGCTCCCCGGGAGACCCTGGCTCTCCCGGAAACCCAGTGAGTTCCCTGTGCTGCTGAATGATGGTGTCAAAGGCATGCTTCCCCAGGGGCTACGCGGGGGGGGGGGGTCCCTAGGGGCTGCGCGCAGGGCTTCCCCAGGGGCTGCACGGGGGGCTTCCCCAGGGGCTGAGCATGGGCTGCACCAGGGGCTTTGCGAGGGGCTGTGCATGGGGCACATGCAGTTCCTACCTTTAGGAACGTCCATGGGGAGATGTGATGTTTGAGCGGTAGGAACAGACTGAGGATAAAGGGACACAGGGTGGAGCTGTTATAAAGTTGGCTCTCTCTTGTCTATCGCTGTAGGCACCCAAAGGGACACAACTTTAGAAATATAAATAGATGGATTTATAGATCTGCAATAATATATGTCATAGATATAATAATGAATAGAGTAGAATAGAATAGAAATAAT